TTTATTTTTTTACTGTTCCTTTTCTTTTCTTTGCATTAGGTCAGATTTGCTTCACCATCCCTCTAGTTTGCTGTATGAGAACATATGTTACTAAATTTAAATCTTTCTTTTATAATAAGTACATTTAATGCTATAAACTTTCTGATTACAAATTTTGATAAGTGTCAGTTTCATTTTCATTTCATTTAAAATATTTGTTCCTGAGATTCATTAACCTATAGGTTATTTTATTAAGTAGATTGTTTAATTTCCAAATATTCTGAGGGTTTCCAGCTATCTCTTGCTTGTTTATTTCTATTCCACTACATTTTGAGAATGCATTTTTTATGATTTCTATTGTTTTGACTTTGTAAGTATGTTCTGTGGCCCAGAACGTGGTCTACCTTGGTGTGGATGTGCCATTTGAACTTAAATAAAATATTCTACTTGAGTAAAATATTATGTAAACTCAGATCAAGTTGATTGTAGCGCTGCTTCTCAGGTCATGTATATCCTCATAGATCTTCTGCATGCTTGAACTTCCCAGTATTGATATAAAAAAAGGTTAAAATCTGTATCTATGATTATAAATTTTTCTATTTCTCCTTTAATTTCTATCAATTTTGCCATATGTATTTGGCAGTCTTTGGTTACTTGCATGTCCATTTTATATTGTTGTTTTGGTGTGGGTTTTTTTTGTCCAATATGATTTTGAATTCATGGTTGTGTTTGTTGTTGTTAGTTGCCAAAGAGTTGGTTCTGACTCATAGCGACCCTGTGCACAACAGAAGGAAACACTGTCCTGCCATGTGCTGTCCTCACTGTCATTGGTCCACTTGAGCCCACTACTGCTGCACTGCACCAGTCCAGCTCACTGGGGGAATTCCTCTTTTTCACTGCCTTTTTACTTTACCAAGCCTGATGTCCTTCTCCAGGGTCTGGTCCCTCCTGATCGTATGTCCAAAGTCTCATCATACTGGCTACTAAAGAGCATTCTGGCTGTACTTCTTCTAACACAGATTTATTTGCTCTTCTGGCAATCCATGGTACTTTCAGTATTCTTTTCCAACACCATAACTCAAATGCATCAGTTCTTCTATGGTCTTCATTATACATTTACCAACTTTCATATGCATATGAGGCTATTGAATAAAGTCTGGTTTGGGTCAGGTGCCCAAACTGACGTCTTTGCGCTTGAACACTTAAAAAGAGGTCTTGTGCAGCAGATTTAACTAATGCAATATGTTGTTTTATTTCCTAACAGCTACTTCCTTGGGTGTTGATAGTGATTCCAAGCAAAACGAAGTCTTTGACAGCTTCAATCTTTTCTCCATTTATCATAATGTTATTTATTAAAAGATGCAGAAAGCATTCCTGTATGATATTCTTGATGTCAGCCCATGTGTATAGTCATCTTTTATGTTGTTTAAATAAGGTATTTCCAATGAATAAATCATTGGTCTTGCAAAATTCTGCCATGAGATTTCCAGCATTGTTTCTATCACCAAGACCATTTTTTCCAACTACTGGCCTTGCCTTATTGTTTCCAGAGTTTGCATTCCAGTCACCAGTTATTATCAATACATCTTGGTTACATGCTTGGCTACAGACTGAAGAATTTGGTGGAATTCTTCAATTTCATCATCACTGACTTGGTGTGTAAATTTGCTTGATGTGTAAATTTGAATAATAGTGCTATTAACTGGTTTTCCTTGTTGTTGTTGTGATGTGCCTTTGAGTCAGTTCCGACCCATAATGACCCTGTATAGGGTTTCCAAGGAGCAGCCGGTGAGCTTGAACTGCCGACCTTGTAGTTCAAACGGCTTTGCAGTCTGGCACATTAGCCCACAGCGTCACACCAGGACTCCGCATCATGTATGGATCTGTTTTCTATTGTCCTGGGGTGGTGCTGTAGGGTAAGCATTGAACTAGTAACCAGAATTTAGGCTGTTCAGTCCTACCTCCTGCTCTTTGGAAACCCTATACAGTGTCACTGTAAGTTGGAATCAACTTGAAGGCACTTAACAACAACTTATTTTCTTGGTCTATACACTGGTGTGGTGCTGTAGGTTATTCTCTGGACTGCTAACCATAAGGTCGGCAGTTCAAACCCACCAGCCACACCTCAGAAACCTGTACAGATTAGCTAAGAGTTGGAAACAACTTGCAGCACTTAACAACAACAAGATCTCTTCACATCCTGAGAAATCCTTTATGGATGCCAGGCATTGTGCTTTAAAAATAAACATGTAGAGGCTCTAGGAACTGACCTTTTTCAGGAGCAAGGAGTCATCCGTTTTTTTGTGTGTGGTTTTTTTTTTTGGTGGATAGATAAAATGGCTAGTCACTTAAATTCAGTCCTGAACTGAGCTTGGTCAGGACCTGCTTCATATTCATTTAGATCTCATTCATTCTAATACCTAAAATGCTTGCTTTCTTAATAAAAATTAGCTTTATAGTACAAACCAGGACTAGCCTTTCTGTAACTCTAGTCTTCTTTATACAGGTTGCTAGCAACTGCAACTCTTATTTTACTACATTGGGAACAGGTAGCTTGTTTGTTTTTCTTAATAGTATTCCCAACAACTAGGACCATTGTAAGCCCTTAATAGAAACCTAATTTGTGCAGTATATTTTGTGTTATCCTACAAAATATAAAAAGAAATCAAGGTATATAGTAGGCAGCCTATACAGCATTTTCCAGCAAATGCTCAGATTTATTGTTGTTAAGTTCTGACTCTCAGCAACCATTTATAGGGTTTCCAAGGCTGTAAAACTTTGTGGGAACATAGAATCAGTGACATAGCCAGAGAGGACTAGAGTGGCGAGTGAAGCGTCCAGCTGATAAGAAGAGAGGGCATATGCACAAGAACACCCACACTTGCAGATAATACCCACTTGACCTGGTTTCAATGACTGGATGATCAGAGCTCGACCAGAAGAGAAAAAAGAAGAGGAAAAAAGCGTAATCGGATACAATTTGATGAACTTGACCTACACCTATGGATGCAGTAGCTCAAAAGAGGGAACAAATCCATACAGAAAGGATCATTCCCACCCCCTCCATACACAGAGTAGACAGGGATGGACAACTTGGACATTGGCTACCTAAAGTGAGGGGGCTACAGAGGCAAGAAGTGACTGGCTTACAAGCTTTCAAGAGGGAACCTAGATTCAAAGGGCGTGAAGGAAGGTAGACTCTCCACTGAGTAGTATACAGTCTGTCTAGGCGGGGCTGATGAAATGTGGATGGGTCTCTTGTGATACAATAGTGAATAATTGTTATCAGGACTGCTTGTGAGGGTTGGAAATGTAAAGGTAGACATTTTATAGAAAGGAAGGGAGTGATTAACTTTCCAGTCTAGGAGCAGAGGTCCCTAGGATCATCAACGGAGAAGAGCAGAGAGCGGGACCCTACCCAGGAAAGCAGTGATGCCTGAGATGGAGGCAGAGACGATGACGTGGAAAGATGGAGCAGTTGGGGACTTTAGACACAGAGAGTGAGAGGGGCTGTGTGCTGATGACCCGGGAGGGGCAGGCTTGTAGTGTACATACCCTTTGGTTGGTTGATGATGCATGGAGGGTATTGTAACCAAAGCAGTGAAACAATATACAATAGGAGGAATGTAAAGCTAATGTTCTCCCATGAAAACTACCACATCATTAAAAAAAAAAAAAAAAAAAAAAACTTTGTGGGAACAGAGAGCCTCATCTTTTCTCCTGCGGAGCAGCTGTTGGGCTCAGACCTTAATGCTTATCCTACGATCGTGCTCCCCAGACTCCCAGTTCTGTTAAATCTTTAACCTATCATCTGGTTCTGACCATTTTATATAGAAAAGGTATATGCTGTTACAGGAACAAGTGTCATTCAAGGATGTCTGTGTGGACTTCACCCAGGAAGAATGGTATCTGCTGGACCCAGCTCAAAAGATACTCTACAGAGATGTGATCCTGGAAAATTACAGCAACATTGTCTCAGTAGGTAAGGAGCCCCCCCTTTCCAACCCCTACCCCCCAGTGTAACTATCAGTAGGAGCTCTGGTGGTATAAGTGGGTTACGTTAGCACTGGGCTGCTAACTACAAGGTCCACAAGTCAAACCCATCAGCTGCTTAGTGGGAGGAAGATGAGGCAGTCTGTTTCCTTAAAGATGTGCAGCCTCTGAAACCCTCTGGGGCAGTTCTGCTTTGCCCTGTAGGATACCTGTGAGTCGGAATTGAGTCATTGATAGTGGATTTGGTTTTGGCTTGGTAACTATCAGTAGCATTCATTTCTTAGTTGCTGAAACATGTGAGCTCCCAGTTGAATTTTCTGATTTGAAGCTTGAGATTCCAGATTCTGAATTAACCTTTTGTCACCATAAAAAATGCTGTTTTCTTACCTCCCCAACAATTGGTTTAGTTGAGCACTTTCTTTGAGCAGCTCTTTATTCCCCATCAGTTTTTGTAAACTCCCTGAACCAAGGTGTTTAACCCATGCCTGTATTATTTTCTCTTAACAGGGCATTGTGGTACTAAGCCAGAGGTGATCTTCAAGATAGAGCAAGGAGAAGAGCCCTGGGTATTAGGGGAGGGATTCTCAAGCCTGCAGCACCCAGGTGAGTTAGTGAGTTTGTAGGCAGATGAAAGGCAAAGGGTATTAGATCTTGTTAGTTCACTGGTTTCGGGGTTTGCCACATTTGGAGTATCTTTTAGAAATTTCTTTTATGAGCCAGAGACTTTTGGAAGTAACCAAGCACACCTGACTCACATCATTTAGGTATCTAAATCACTCCATATATCATTTTCACTCATAAATACATTCCTTTTTTCTTTGAAATATTAGCAAAATTTGCCTATACCCATAATCGAAACCTAGTCTGCTTCATTTTAGATATCTTTTCTTGGTTTGTTTCTCTTTTTCTAGCTTTTAAAATTGTTTACCTTTCCTCCATTCTTTCTAGGTACATTTGGCTTGCTGGTATTTACTAATATAGTTTAATAATAAAATTCATTCCATAAACATACAATGAATACTTAATTTTGACCCAGTAATGTTTCGATAAATAAATAATTTCCGTGTTATTGTAAGAGTACATAAGAAGGATTCAAAAAGTACATGGAGTTAAAAGATAATGGAATTTTTCCACAAGCTTCTTAAAGCCCCTCACATATTACAGTGAAGATAACAGCACATTCATGCATATGCACACACAAACTATGTTGGGTGGTTGATAAGTACTATGAAAAAAAAGTTAAAGCAGGAGAAAGAGTATGGAGAAGATGGCCTGTTCTGTTTTGGCAGGAAGATCAGAGAAAGCCGTCAGATGAGGTCAGAATTAGAGCTGAGACTTTAGTAAATTGAGACTGGATTATGTGCATTCTGAATGTTCTAGGTAGAGGGAACAGCAATTACTGAACCTTTTATATACTAGAGTATTGAGTGTTTGAAGTATGGCAAGGAGGCTCCTGTGGATGGAAGTAGATGGGTGGGGGAGAGATTGGTAGGAGATGATGTCCTAATGAGTATCAAGTATAATGATTTGTTGTTGTTAAGTGCCGTCGAGTCGGTTCCGACCCATAGCGACCCTGTACAGGGTTTCCGAGGGTGTAAATCTTTACGGGAGTAGAAAGCCTCATCTTTCTCCCGCGGAGCAGCTGGTAGTTTCGAACCGCTGACCTTAAGGTTCGCAGCCCGATTCGTAACCACTACGCTACTAGATACACTAATTTTCAGTTTTGTGGGAAACCTTTGGTTCCTTGTGCATCAATGTAAATCAGATATAGTCTACAGTTTTAAAGGCTCTCTGAGTCTGTAGTGATTGTGCTGTGGGCGATGTGTGGTGGTTAGATGTGAACAAAGAAGAAATGCCAATTAGGAGACTATTAAATATGCCTGAGAAGAGATTGGGGTCACTAAGGCTTTCCTGGAGGTAATAAGTACATTTTGAGTGAAGATTTACCCAGCAGTTTAAGTTCATATTCTACAATTTCTACACAAGTTGTTTAGTGACACTGGTTACATTCTTCACAATGTGTGGACGTCCTTATTACTTTTGTTCTGGTTGCTCCATTTCTGTTCATGTGATTTTCCTGTCACCTTACATTCTTATCTTTATTGTAAAGTAACTGTTGACTGTTTGGTCTCATATAGGTAATTTTTTAAAGGAGTCCAGTCCTGGTGGATAATAGTCATTGTTTTTTGGGCATATTTGTTATATAGCTACTTGTTGGCCACAGGAGTTAGTTTCAGTTCAATGTTTGAAAAGTATCATAGGACAGTAGTCTTGAGGAGTCCTCCAGTCTCAACCAGTCCAGTAGGTCTGTTTTGTTTTGTTTCTAAGAATTTGAGATTCTATTTCACATTTTCCTTTCAGAATTCTATCAGGGTCTGTCTCTAGTGACCCTGATTAGAATAGTTGGACATTGTAGCCAGATACCATCAGTCCTTGTGGCCTCAGGGTAGAAGAGGCTGTGCTCATGTAAACTGTTTGTCCTGTAGCCGAGTTTCTGCTTTGACTCTTTTGTTTCCAGTTTTTTTACTCTGGATGAGTAAAGATTTGTAGTTTTTATCTTGGATGGTTTCTCACAGGCTTTAAAGACTACAGACATTACTTACCAAATGACTATGGAGAACATAACTTTAGGAACTGTATTATGCCAGTTTCTGTGCTATTCAAAAGGTTTTCAGTGACTAAATATTTGGAAATAGTTCATCTCTCCTTCTTCCTAGTCTGTCTTCATTTGGAAGCTCATCTGAAACCTTTCCACCGTGGATGACCCTGCTGGTATTTAAAATACCCATGGCATAGCTTCCAGGATCACAGCAACTCAAAAGCCACCACAGTACGACAAAGGATTCTCTGGAAAATTACTGAATGATACACAAAGCACAAAAAGAATATGGAAGGAATACACAGAGTCACTACCAAAAGTAAATTGTCAATGTTCAGCCATTTCAAGAGGTAGCATATGATCAAAAGCCAATGACACTGAAGGAGGAAGTACAAGGTCCATTGAAGGAATTGGCAAAGAAAAAGACACCGGGAATTGAAGGAATACCAATTGAAATCTTTCAACAAAGTGAGGCAGCACTGGAGGCGTTCACTCATCTATGCCAAGAAATTTGAAAGACAAGTATCTGGCCAACTGATTGGAAGAGATCTGTATTTGTGCCCATTCCAAAGAGAGGTGACCCAACGGAATGTGGAAATCGTCGGACAATCTCTATGATATCCCATGCAAGTAAAGTTTTACCACAGGTAATACAGAAACGGCTGCAAGCATACATTGACAGAGAACTTTCAGAGGTTCAAGCCAGATTCAGAAGAGGCCGTGGAACAAGAGATATCATTGCTGATGTCCAATGTATCTTGCTGAAAGCAGAGACTATCAGAAAGATGATTACCTGTGCTTTATTGACTGCAAAGGCTTTCAATTGTATGGATCATGACAAGCTATGGACAGCATAGCGAAATATGAGTATTCCTGAACACTTAATTGTGCTTATGAGGAACCTGTACATAGACCAAGAGGCAGTTGTTCGAACAGAACACAGAAGACTTGAATGGTTTAAAATTAAGAAAGGTTTGTGATAGGGTTGTATTCTTTCGCCATATTTATTCAATCTATATGCTGAGCAGATAATCCAAAAAGATGGGTTATATGAAGAAAAAGGTGGCATCAGGATTGGAGGAAGACTCATTAACAACTGATGATATGCAGATGATACAACCCTGCTTGCTGTAAGTGAAGAGGACTAAAATACTTACTGATGAAGATCAAAGGCGGTATCCTTCGGCACGGAGTGCATCTCTATGTAAAGAAAACAAAAATCCTCACCACTGGACCAATAAACAAAATTCTTATCAATGGAGAAAAGATTGAAGTTGCCAAAGACTTCATTTTTCTTGGATCATCCATCAACACTCATGGAAGCAGCAGCCAAGAAATCAAACGGCATGTTACATTAAGCAAATCTGCTGCTCAAGACCTTTTTAAAGGTGCACCTGACCCAAGCCATGGTATTTTCTGTAGCCTCATATGTGTGCAAAAGCTGGACAATGAAGAATTGATGCTTTTGAGTTATGGTGTTGGAGGAGAATATTGAAAGTGCCATGGACAGCCAAAAGAACAAACAGATCTGTGTTGGAAGAAGTCCAGCCAGAGTGTTCCTTGAGGGCCAGGATGGCCAGATTTCCTCTGTCATACTTGGGACATATTTTCAGGAGGGTCCAGTCACTGTAGAGGGATATCATGTTTGGTAAGGTAGAGGGTCCAAGAAAAAGAGGAAAACCCCCCCAGCGAGATGGTTTGGCATAGTGGCAGCATCAATGGGCTCAAGCATAACAACAGTTGTGCGGTTAACCCAGGACCATGCAGTGTTTTGTTCTGTAGTGCCTAGGATCACTATGAGTTGGTACTGACTCTATGGCACCTAACAATAACAACATTATTCCAGTTGTCCAGAACATCCCACGAGACCATGGTCCTCATCCTCCAAACCCAGGAATCCATAATATGAAGTGTTTAGTCATGTCTGTCTAAGAAGTATCGCTACCTGTGCCCCCTTTGTGCTTTATTATATGTATGAGTATGTATGTGCATACATATTTCATTTATCCATTCATCCACTGATGAGCACATAGGTTGTTTGTGTCTTTTTGCTATTTTGAATACAGACAGTCTACGGATATGAACATCCAAGTTATGAACACCTGGCTTGCTAACAACTTATACTTGCCCTTCAATGTAACGTAAATTTTCTGTCACTTCAAAATGACTGAACCAACCCCCTACTGGCAACAAATTCATCACAGTCACCTTCACTTGCCACATGTGCAGCTTTTAGATAATTGAAAAGGCTTCAAGCCTTTTCTTACACTAACCAAAATCAAACCCACTGCCATTGAGTTGATTCCAACTCAGAGCAACCTTATATAGGGTTTCTGGGACTGTAAATCTTTATGAGAGCAGACAGCCTCATCTTTCTCCTGTGGGTTTAAACTGCTTAAGTGCCACAAGGACTGCTTCTCTTACACTAAATAAGAACTGTATCCAACTGGTCTGTCTTGCCTACACATTCTTAAAGACACAGGAATGGATTTTATTTATAACCAGGGTGTTACCTATAATGCTGCAATGAGCATAAGTCTATTTTCTGTCACTTCTGTTGGATCCATAGAGTTAGATGCAAAAATCTAGGAGGGGAATTGATGGTCATACAGCAACTCTATGTCTTAAGTTTTTTGAGGAACCGCCAGCCTTTTCTACAATGACTACAATTTTGTATTTCTACCACATATGGATGGAGTCCTGATGTGGCACTGTGGGATAAAGCACTGGACTGCAAAGTCAGTTTCAACCACAAGGTAGGTGGTTCACACCACCAGCTGCTCCTTGGAAGCCCTATACAGAGTCTCTATGAGTCGGAACTGACTCCATGGCACTTAACCACCAACAACCACCACCTATGGATGAGGGTTACAGTTTCTCCACATCCCCTTCAACAATTGTTACTTTCATTTTTTTTTTTTTTTTTTAAATCTGTCATCCTGGTGGTGGTGGTTGTGTGCCATGGAGTTGGTTCTGACTCATAGTGACTCTGTGTAGGGTCTCTGATGCTATAAATCTTTACAGGAGCAATAAGCCTCATCTTTCTCCTGAGGAGTGGCTGGTACAGTCACACTGTTCACCTTGTGGTTAGCAGCTCAACTCGTAACCCACTACTATACCAGTGTTGTCGTTAGGTGCCGTTGAGTCACTTACAACCCATAGCAACCCTACATACAACAGAACTAAGCATCGCCCAGTTCTGCACCATCCACACAGTTGCTTCTATGCTTGAGCCCATTGTTGCTGCCACTGTGCCAGTCCATCTTGATGGAGGTCTCCTTCTTAAAAGTTGACCCTCCACTTTACCAGGCATGATGTCCTTCACCAGGGACCAGTCACTCTGTCTGAAGTATGAGAGACAATGTCTGGCCATCCTGGATTCTAAGGAACATTTTGGCTGTATTTCTTACAACACAGATTTCTTTGTTCTACTGGCAGTCCATGGTACCCTTAATATTATTCTCGACCACCATAACTCACATGGAACAATTCTTCTACAGTCTTCTTTATTCATTGTCCAACTTTCACATGCGTGTGAGGGTATTGAAAATACCAGGAGTTGGGTGCACTTCAGTCTTCAAACTGATATCTTTGCTCTTGAACACTTTATAAAGATATCTTGTGTAGCAGATTTGCCTAATTCAATATATCATTTGA